GTAAGAATGCATGGATTGATACACATGTCTTGCAGGCATGGTGAAATGTTTATTTACATTACCAATGGGCAAGGGCCTAAAGTCTGGTAGTGGTGGTGTGGGTTCCTCCCTACTCCCTCCCTTCATATTTCTGGCACAGTTGCTCCGAAGTCACTTCTGCATTTTTCCCTACAGACTAATCTGCTTTTATCCTTGGAAGCTAATTTCAAAGGCTTCATGTGACTTCCCCAAACTTAACAGATTTCAACAGCTGGTTTGGTCACCATGTCCCTGAGCATGGATCGATGGTGTGTGTGTGTGTGTGTGTGTGTGTGTGTGTGTTTTCTGTCTTCACACTTCATTCTCTGGAGGAATGTCCTAAGAACACATTGCCTAGAGTGTCAGTAATTAGACTACCGCTTACCTATGTTGTGAAACTAAGCTCTGAAAATTCCCTGTGTTGTCAGTGTAGCAGGGGGTGTGACAAATACTGATCTTTACCTTCTGTCCCCTCAGGTATGACTCTGGAAAGGATGGGTATATAGACCTAATGGAGCTGAAACTGATGATGGAGAAGCTGGGAGCTCCTCAGACCCATCTGGGACTGAAAAACATGATCAAGGAAGTGGATGAGGATTTTGATGGCAAGCTCAGCTTCCGTGAGGTAAGGATCAGCAAAGAAGTATCTAATGTGGGGCTGCATAGCCAGGCAGTAGCAATCTGGAACACTACCGGTGCATCCTTTCTCTGAATTGGGCTGTGCTAGATCTTCCTTCCTCCTTCTAACCTGGCCAAGATTCTTCTAAGCCTGAGATAGCTCGATAGGCTATGCGGTGGTGGAAGTGCAATCAGCAGGGGAGAGAAGTAGGCAGTCTCTGCTGCATGAAGCATGATGTAACTGAATGACAAGATGCAACTCATTATTCATGGGGAATTCTGTGCCAAAAAATTAATTCTGTGCACAATATTTTAAAATTCTGCATATTTTGTCAAAATAACACAATATAATCATGCCAGTTTCAATTATTTCGGTAATTTATTTTGAAATATTTGTCAACAAGTATGTCCGCAAGCTTGTTGATCTCTATTCCAAGCCCTGTGTCTAATGCAGTTTAATGCACTTATCACAGCTCTGAGCTGGATGGGAACAGTTTTTACTTTTGACTGAGGATAACTGAAGCCTAATGATTTAGCAGTTAAATAATTAGTGTTGACTTGAGCAACAGTGTCATCCAATATACTTATAGCTATCCCTTTTTTAGGATGCCATGGCAGGTGTTGATCAGTTGCAGGGAGTTGTCTTGTTTCTGGGAGCTTTCTTCTGCCCTTTCTGCCCCTAAATGGGGTAATGCTTATCCTCCTGCCTCAAGCAGGCAGAGCAGGGCTCCATAACTTATCAAAGGGGGATTTCTGTTGTCTCCACAACCAAGTCTCTGAACCCTCAACTGTTCAGACCTGTAACTTTCAATTCAAAAGTGCCAGGGAATTCTGGCAGCTGCTGTGCAAGCGGGTATGAACAAAGGGTAGGCAGAAGCTGGACACTAACAGATGCTGTATGCTGGGTAGGAAGGGGCATGAGTAGACTAGGACATCAGCAACTGAGTGCAGACAGCTGCTTGCTAGGCTGGCAAAGGACATGAACAAAGATGAGTGAAGATGAGGAAAGCAGCAGCTGTTAAAGTCACGTTGTAGTGCCTCAATGCTAGCACATCTGAGCGTACTGCTTCTGAAAAGTCAGCTTGCTCAGCAACTCTAAACATCAGTCTCTGTATCCAGTTGGGTATGTTTGCCACCACATCCGTTGTGAAAAATTAATTGCTGATAGTTTACATTGTAAACTAGTTGGTCACTAATTTGTGTAAAACATCAATCCCTCCGTGGCAATGGCTGAGATGTAGAGCAGCCTGGTGATGTCTCTGTCGGTGCATGGTCGGAAAAGGCTGAGGGTGTTGTGAAATTACAGGGAAATCTAATGTGGTAGAAGCAGGTTATCAATATGTTTTTAAGACTTTTTTTTTTAATGCAGAAAAATGTAAATACTGCCTGCCTACTTTTCTGTTAGGCTTTGACTCTACTTCTCTGGTATAGCATGTCCCTAGTCACATGCTTATAGCACATGCCTATTGCACACACTATTTTCTGTGATGCACAAGTGTTCCTACCATCATCTGGTGGAACAGACTTACTCAGAATGAGGGTAACCACTGTGTCGTCACTCACTATGTCAGTTTCACTTGATGAAATCCCAGCACAGGTGGGAAGTACTGGCTTAATCTCGGCTATGTAAGCAGTCCTCTCACCAGTCACTGCTTAAGTACTCTGTCTATCTGGCATAGGGGGTCAGGCTTTCTGGAAGTCCCTCACCTAAACACATCCCACTGCATGCTACTCTCTCACCAGCATCCACTTGTGCGCACTGAAAAGTGGCGTGTTGGAACTGTGATCATGTCTTGGAACAATGCACTTGGCAAGTGTGTTGCCAGCTGACCCAAAGCAGATGGCTGGACGCTTGTGAGCAGGAGGGCGTACCAGCTGCAGCTTAACTTTTTAAGAACACAGTGATGTCAGAACAAGAATAGAAACATGTTAGAGAGCAGGGTATTACTGGTTCTGGCAAGAAAAATAGAAGAACTGAAAGTCTGTCTCTGAGTCTAGGTCAGCAGTGGCTCTGGGGCAGGGAAGAAAGCCTGCCCATTTTACAATATATTGAACTCTCCTTGGGGGCTCTATCAATGGAGCCTGAGATAATTCTGGATGATACTAAGGAATCTGGTGGAGCAGAACACCACGTCTGTGGCCCCAGGTGAGACTAGGGGTGAAGACAAGAAATGGAAGCTACATGGATACTATGCTGGGATGACAAGACCTCTTCAGATAGTTCCAGGCTCATGAAAGCGACTGCTTGAGGGGCAAGGGTCTCTCTACAACAGGTATATGTTGCTTTTTTGATTTTTCTGTTGGGGCCTGGTTTTGCATATGTGTGGACTAGAGAACACTTCCCGGTATCATGTGGATACCACTGCCATTATTAAAATGGACAGATGCAGCCTCCCATGAGTGTGTATGTCCCTTCTTCCTCCTTGAGTCAGTAAGCTCCCTCCTTGCACTGTTGCCACAGCAAAAATGGCAACTGTCTACTCCCGGCTCCACCCACCTGTTCCAGCTTCCCCAAACCCTGCTGGCTACAGCAGCCTCCTCTGTGTTTAGTCATAAAGACTGTTCTGGGAGATTTCTGTCTACACTTCAAATACTGTGCACAGCAGCTGGCTCTGTTGCATCCTGTAGCCAGATGCAAAATGATGGCTAAGCAGTGAAATTCTTATGTAAGAGGCACTCTTAACTCTTACTGTAATAAACTACACATTGGGAAAATAAGCCTCAGCATGTACGCTACACTTTCTGTTCATGCCCTGGACCAGGATACCTGCTTAGCTATCTGCCCTTACCTACCTGCAAATGCACTTGATTCTGCCTTTCTGTATAACTCATAAGCATTATCTGGTAGCAAATTGCTTTATATCTCCCACTAGCAAGTGAGGTGGAATCAATTGTTGCTTTGTCCAACTATGCTTCCCTTCTGCTGACAGCCAAGAAATAGATGGAAAGGAACCATGTTAATATGCTAGCCATAATTTTCTCTTGTTTCTTTGAAATAATCTTGGCAAACCTTGGCAAAAACCAGTGTTCTAGTTTAACAGTTTGGGGTGTGTGGGTGTGTATGTGTGTGTGTCTAATTTAGCTGTGCCAACATGTAGGGTCCTGTGCCTTTCCAGCCACAAAGTGTCCTCAGATAATTGAGAATAACAAATAAAAATTTTCTCAGCCTTGCTTCGCCTTCACCGGCCCCTCTTGACTGTTGAAAAAAACAGTTCTCACTCTCTTTTTTGGGTGCAGCAAATCAGATACTTTATTCTCAAGCAATTGCATAGAGTGCACTAGGACACAGGGTTTCCCCCTCCTAGGCAGGTCTCTCAAAAGATAAACAGTTAAGGCAAGCATTTATACCTTTTGTTACATACAATAATGAGCAACAGCTGCATTTTGTTTATACATAGGTCATCCTGATATCTTATTTTTCACATCTATTTAGACTCGAATCTACATTCCATATTTATCTACACAAGGTCGCAACAACTTCTCACACAGTTCTTTCCCACTCGCCTCACACAATCCTCGCTTCTACAAATCTCGCGTTATTAGGGTTACAGCTAGCCTGACTCTTGCTCACAGAAGAGACTGTATGCATTGAAATTCCCTTCAAATCCCTGTCAGTTCTTGCTCTACTTCCAGCCACAAAGCGTCCTCAGATAATTGAGAATAACAAATACAAATTTTCTCAGCCTTGCTACGCCTTCACCAGCCCCTCTTGACTAAGTCTTTCCTTGCTCTTGCTAGAAATCCTCAGGATACCGATCCTAAGGTCCTGTTAGTCTGCAACAGGTAACCTTTGGCAGCTGCTGCATACTGCACCTATCCCTCCCAAAAAATCCAATTCCTTCCCACTTTCTCTTGGAAGAAAGTGGCTTATGTTCTTACAGGGGGCTGATACTGGGGAGTGGGAAGGTATTAGAACTGGAAACTGAACACAATTGTTGATTTATTATTTCTAATTCAGTGACTATTGCTGTACCAAAGCAATTCCAGAGCAGGAGAGGCTACAGGAGCAGAAGTTCCATGAGAATGTATTTAGAGCAACTAGCAGTGATTTCAGCAGCAGACCCCTGCATCTATTCACTGTGTACCACTTGCACTGGACAACAGCATGTCACAGGATGTTATGCGGGAGTCAATAGCTGCTAGTCATCTGCTCCCTCCTATGTAGGGTGACCAGATGTATCGTTTTTAAAGGGCTAGTCCTATTTTTTGGGACTTTTTTCTTATATAGGCGCCTATTACCCCCCACTCCTGTCCCATTTTTTCACAGTTGCCATCTGGTCACCCTACTCCTGTGTGTTCCCACAGCGCTCAACCTCTGCATCAGAGCAGAAGAAACTGTAATCTCCATGATGTGAATTGCTTACCTCGATAGCCTGTAAACGACTCTCTTCTTGTATTACACTGGCTTCCTATTGCACCTGACTGGCATGTTCATTAATAAAATTGACTTGTACTATGACCTTTGTCAAAGTCCATAAATATGTCATCAATTAACTCCACAAAGTTCCTCTTAAAGACTCAGGTTAAACAGCTTATGCTTAAAAAGAGAAGCATAACTACTCTATAATGCCTAGGCTCAAACTCCCACCCACCAAAGGAAAGAACAGATAATAGCTGTAACAGCAATACTTAACTCTATCCATATCTAGCATCAGTAAAATCCACCTTAGCATCACTGTGCCTGTACTAGTAAAATGTTCAATCTCTGACCCAACTTGCATATGTGCCATCTGGGTTCATGTATGTCACAGCTTCCCCGGGACACTGTTTGTGTCCAGTTGTGCAGAGATTGCTTCAAGGACCAGTGCCTCTCCGCTTCAGTTTATTAAATACTTCTCCTCATGTCTCAAGGTTTATGCTGTACACACCAGGCAAGGATTACAGTAGCCATGTTGCTGTCATTTTGCAGGTCAGCAGGCACTCTGCACTCTGTCTGGGTTTGTGGAACTGCTGTATGGCTTTTTTGATGGAGGAGGAGTGTGTGTGCTGGGTCACTAAGAATCACAGAGAGCATTCGTGTCAACATCATGAGGTTGGAACTGTGTACCCTGCTCTCTGTGCTTCTCAGCAGAGTCTTTAAAAATTCTGGTATTATGCACTTTGCCTCTCCTCTACATCAGCAGCTGGTAAGTGGCCACCATAATCCATGTTTCCAACTTTTTCTGTCTGGGTAAGTAAGTCCCACATGCCTTTTATTGGCTGAAGTAGCTAGTAAAGCAGCATATTTTCCCTGCTGTAACAGGCCATCTTCCGTAAGAAGAATGCTGCATGATTCCCCTGTTTCAGGGTGATTCATGCACACGTGTCCTTGTGATTGGTCATGGCTGGGTGTTTCCAGGCACTGACCTACCCTTCCCCGGACTACATTTGTAACAGACCTTAGGGCTGCTTTGTTTTCAGTAGACTTTTTGGATGCCAGGAAGTTTGGCTTTCAAGGGTGGGGTTGGAACAGTGAGGAGGAACATCTGACTAATACTAGTACAACCAGAGGTTCAGGCTGTATCAAAGATCCAAAGCAATATCTGGGTTGTTTGGTGGAGGGAGGAGAGGACAAAACAGACTTGAATAGAATGGAAGGAGGTTTTCTCAAGTTTTTGAGTTGGCTGATCTACCCATTTAGCTAAACCTCACCTAATTTTAAATTTTGTTTGGAGAGGGTAGGAAGCTTCCCTATAAAACAAGCTTGCCTTCTGTATGCTCTACCTTAATAAGCACACCAAGCTTACAGGGCTATTGCGTAAATCTTCTCCTGCTAAACTTGGATGCTGTGGTAGAGAATAGCCAGGACTGTAGTTATCCTGCCCACCCTATTCTCAAACTGCTGCACCTCCATCAGCTGCTCAGTAACTGTCCTGGAAATGATAAACAATTCTGTTTTCCCTGATGCATTAGTGATGAAAGGAAAAGGAACTGGCTGAGATTGCTGACATACTGAGATGCTGCTGTCCTTTAGTGAGATGCTGCTGTCCTCTAGTGGAAGAGTGTGATCTCTGCACTGGAACAGACAAATCCTGTCCGATTGAGGAAATGCAGAACTGAACCTCCTTTAACATTTGTGTTTGAAATCTCTCCTTATGGAGGGAGCACACATGCTCCTACATATTACTTGACCCCTCCATGCTGGATTTTAGCGGTACAATAGGGCCTGGTGCAGCTCCTGTCCACAGGGGTGAATCTGTGAAAGCCAGTGTGTAGGCTACAAAATAGCTGAGAGCACAATGGTGAGACCTAATTACAGCAGTACTTTAATGTTGCATGTATTAGTGTTTGCATCATAAATACTGGATTCAGAGGATTACAACATAGATGTGAGTTTCCTTAACTGAAACTTGGTGCACCATTGGGAAGTTTGAGCCTTGTAATTCCTTTTGAGGGAAGGAAAATGTGCTGCTTAGATGTTGCAAAAAAGCTGATTTTTACAGTTTAAATAACCTGGCAGGCAGACTGGTCAGGTACCTCTTGGTACCTTAAACATTTCTAGTTAAGTGCTCTAGTAAGGGTTTTAAAATGAGTTGCTGCATAGGCACTTCTATATCTTTTTAAACCATTCTTGAGTGGGACAGGGTATAGCTCTATTGTGACCACAGAAAGACCTTTGCTATAACAAATCTCCTGTATTCTTAATGGACACAATAGAAGAAAACCTCCTTCTGTCCAAATGATAGCCTAGCAAGGTGGTAGTCTTAAAGCTGTGATGCAGTCCTAAGACTTCTCCATGTTCTGGAGAATCCTGAGTAGTGATTTAACACTAGAGCTGGACAAAATTAACTCCCCTCCCCCAGAACAACCAAAAAAATCCCTAATCTTTTTGCTTCCCACTATCAGTATATGAGGCAGAAATGTCAGTTAGAAGACATTCTCTTTTCTAATATGGATAACTGAGTTCTTGGAGTGCTTGCTTTTGTCCATTCCACTTTAGGTGTGTGTGAACCATTGCTGGAGATTTTTCCCTCAGTGGTATCTGTCAGGCCAGCTCTAGTGCCCCCTGGAGCCACACGCTTATGCACAGGTATAAGGGGCACCACCGGCCACGCACCCTCTCGGTTCCTTCTTACCGCCCATGACAGTTGCTGGAACGACCACTCTTGCTTCGGCAAGGCTTCTTCCCAGTGGTTTTTGGACTCTAATTCTTTGTTGTTTTTAAACATAGTTTTTAGAGTAGATAGATATTGTAGCTAGTGTTAAGGACTATCATCAAGGGACTCTCTTCGCCCCAGGACCCAGGCATGCCCTGGTCCCTGAGCTTCAAACTTTGTGCCTCCTGTGGCAAACCTCTGCCCGTGAGTGACCCGCATTCCAGTTGATTGAATGCTCAGGAGAAACTAACGTGAGGCACTCACTGGGGCAGAAAAACTACAAGCAGTGGGAAGGCAGTGCAGTGCAACTGATTCAGGGCCACTCTTCCACCCCTGGTCCCATGGTGGCACCATCAACTCTGCCCAGAGTGTTGTCTGGTGCTGCACGCTCTGCCGACACCCGGAAACCACTGTGGTACCAGCAGCCTGACTGTCTCTTTGACCCCAGAGGAGCTTAAGGAAACCTCCCACAGCCTTCTGGCTACAGCAGCTCCCTCCAAAGTGGCCTTACCCATTAATGAGGCTGTAATGGGTCCGGTCGAGGCCCTGTGGCAACTCCTCCTCTGCCTCCCACCTCAAAGAGGGCAGAAAAGAAACATTATGTGCCAGCAAGTGGATTTGAGTACCTGTACTCACGCGTTCACACACACACACCCCAGAGTCCCTTGTTGTGTCAGCAGCAGGGCCAGATGAGCGCTACAAACAAAAAGATGCAAAAAAACCTGGATCTGTTGGGGGAGAGGTTTATTCAATGAGTAGCTATCAACTGCATATCTCCAATCAGCATGTTTTGCTAGGGAGATACAATTACAATCTGTGGGACTCCTTGTCCAAGTTCAGACTCTCTCTGCCTCAGGATTGGAAGCAGAATTCACTCTTGGAGGAGGGTCAGAATGTGGCCAGGATCTCTTTCCACGTAGCTTTGTATGCAGCTGATGTGACAGAGAGGAGAATGGCCTCTGCTGTCACCATGAGGCTTTGTTCTTGGCTCCAGTCCTCAGGACTACCTCACGAGATCCAACAATCCATCCAGGGCCCCCCTCCCCCTTTGAAAGCTCCTCAGTATTTTCAGAGCAGACAAGACACAGGGCTTCATGGGCTGAAGGACTTTAGACCCACCTTCAGGTCACTGGGCCTCTATGCTATGTCTGCTTCCAGGAAGCACTTCAGGCTCCAACAGCCACCTCATTTATCGGCACCACCTCCAAGACAGGAGCCCTACAAAAGGAAAAGGAGAGGTTACAAACGGCATCAGCCACTCCTGTTCCCCTCAACCTCCCAGCCAGGCTCTCATAGGTCCTCCGGTGGCTTCAAGCAGGCCTTTTGAAGGTGCGCCTCAAGGTGCTATACTAGTTCCCACTTCAGATCCTGCCTCCCCTTTATTTTTGGACTGTTTATCCCACTTCAGCCCGGCATGCTCCCACATAACATCAGACCACTCCGTGCTAAATACAGTGACAATGGGCAATACCCTTCAATTTTTATCCACCCCTTCCCTCCCTCCCACCCTGCATCTCCATCCCTCTTCAGGGACCCTTTTCATAAGCAACTCTTCACCCAGGAATTGCGGTCCCTCCAATGCATGGGGGCTGTGGAGGAAGTTCCTCGAGACTTGAGAGGAAAGGGGCTCTACTCGGGTATTTCCTAATCCCAAAGGCCAAGGGAGGCCTCTGGCACATTCTGGACCCGCATCATCTCAACAGGTATCTCAAGAAACTGAGGTTCCGCATGGTCTCCCTGGCCTCCATCATTCCCTCCCTGGATCCAGGGGACTGGTAGGCTGCCATCGACTTAAAGGATGCATACTTTCACATTTGTCTCTCTTGGCTACATAAGATTTCTCAGATTTATTGTGAATCAATGCCACTACCAGTTCACTGCTCTTCCCTTAGACCTGTCTGCAGCCCCTCTGGTTTTATGAATCGTATGGCAGTAATATAGCAGCCTTCCTCAGGTGGTGAGGTGTCCAGGTCTACCTGTACCTCAACAACTGGCTGATCAAAGGTCGGTCAGAAACTCACATGTGGAACAGCATCAGCATGGTCCAAGTCACCTTCCGGGTGCTGGGCCTATTGATTAAATGAGCAAAAGTTGACTCTTGTTCCAGTTCAGAGAATAGAATTCATTGGGGTGGTGCTCAATTCAACCCAGGCCAGAGCCTTCCTTCTGGAGGCCCAATTCCAGACTCTATTGGACCTGATATCCAAGTTCAGGGTACACCCAATTAAGACTGCCCGAGTTTGCCTGAAGCTTCTGGGGTACATGGCCACATGTACTTATGTGATTCGGCATGCAAGGTTACGCCTCAGGCCCCTACAGACCGTGGCTACTTCCCAAACTGAAACTACTTGGACTTG